TATTCAGTATTTAATGTTCCTGCCACCCCATTTTCTGCTAAAGATTGCGGTTACCTTTCGAAGAATGTCTTCTGCTAACGTGAGGAATGCCTTCTCAATGTTTATATTTGCTTTTGCACTAGTTTCGAAAAACCTAATACCATGCTCCCTTGCAATCTAGGCCAAAAGGGGAAAAGAACACTATTAGGCTTGTTACAAAATACTACACATCAGGAAGTGTGAACCTGCTCAAACATACTGTAAAAAGGACACTTAAAAAAAAATCCTAATCCAAACACATTAAAAGAAGATTTGCAAAATTAGCAGAACAATTTCTAAGTCTGTCCCAAAGTATATATGTTTTAAAAATCATTTTACAAAGCATAATTCATATATGCATAATTTAAAATTCTAGTTAAATAATAGATTATGTTCTCACAGGAATATAAAGATCTCAGAAACTCTGAGAAAATAGGCTTTTACTCAGTCAATTGTAAAATTTTATACAGAAGAACTTTAAAAATCAAGCCAACGTTCTAAACTGAGGGAAACCCTCCAGCAATAAATGCAGATTTCTAACACCAGCACTACAAAGTATTACACATTGTGACATTTTTTTTATCAATTAGAAGTTTTAAAACATTCAGACCATTGATTGCTAAAAAAAAATACAGCAGTTTTTTTAAACCAGGAAATACATAAAATGATAATGCTAACTTTAAGATAAGCACATTACAATTAATTCTATTCCCAGCCTTATCAAAACATATATGATCCCATTAATCTGGCAGGGTTCCGCCTCACTAAACACACCAAATATATCTTTTAGCCACCAAAAGAATGCCGACCATTGGCCTAAAGGAAACTAAGAATTTCCTCTATTATCTGCACTACCGATGCAGAAAATTGCTGATGTGGTACGCACCTGTTCACCTTTTCCTTTAGGTACCACTCTTTTGTCATCCATATCACATTTGTTTCCTAAAAGCATTCTCTCCACATCTTCGTTAGCATGCTAGGGTGCAATCAAAGAATGATATTTTATATTTCTGTACAGCATTATATTAACCACCTTATGAAAGTTAAGCTCAGAGGGCATGAGTTAAACTTACAACCCCCTTCCCTTTCATTTTTGGGGCTTGGGTGGTTGTTATTTAAGTAAAATAGGTAATTAAGTCTACCAAAGATCAAAATCAGGAAACAATGGTACTCAATTATAAAAAATATAATAATATACACTCAAGTTATTCTCCAACTGCAACACAAGGTTATATAATACTTTGCCAAGATCGATATGCTTCAGATTGTACTCTTTTATTGGGACAATTTCACTATGATCCTGTATGGTCCAAAACATATTTAGAATTGGTGAAATCTATGATGTAATAAATTAATATGAACTGGGAAAATTGTATGAAGAATTATGTTCAATAGTAATGCTTACATATAATCAAAGCACAAAATATGAATGTACGGTATATAAACCAATTCTTGAAAATTAAGTTAAAGTAGCAGTGTGGTTTGGAGGTGACTGGATGGGATATTGTATCTCAACTGCATCTTCTTGTTGTTGTTAATTGCGAAGTCATGTCTGACCCATCGCGACCCCATGGACAACATTCCTCCAGGTCTTCCTGTCCTCTACCATCTTCTGGAGTCCATTTAAGTTCACGCCTACTGCTTCAGTGACTCCATCCAGCCACCTCATTCTCTGTCGTCCCCTTCTTCTATTGCCCTCAATCTTTCCCAGCATTAGGCTCTTCTCCAGTGAGTCCTTCCTTCTTATTAGGTGGCCAAAGTATTTGAGTTTCAACTTCAGGATCTGGCCTTCTAAAGAGCAGTCGGGATTGATCTCTTCTAGGACTGATCGGTTTGAACACCTTGCAGTCCAAGGGACTCGCAGGAGTCTTCTCCAGCACCATAGTTCAAAGGCCTCAATTCTTTGTCGCTCAGCCTTTCTACATCAGGCTAAAAGATGTACTATATTTTGGCTAGATAGTTTACTCAGTTTATTATAAATAAACTACATTTATCCTACCAAAACGTAGTTCAAAAAGATAGTCCTATCAGCCACCTCTTTAATGGTTACAAGCTATTAATCGTGATTACTAAGTCTTAGTCTACAAAAACATTCCCCTTTTATCCCTCATTGCTTTAAGACAGTAATTGCTCAAGTCTTGGCCATCATGTTTGATTTATGATGCAAAATCTCTGAAAGTCCAAGCTGCAAATTTAAATATGCAGATTACTAATATGTAACATAAATACTAGCTATGAGGAAAATAATTGGGTTATTGACCCCAAAAAGCAAGATTGCCTCAAGGGATACTATTATGCCTAATATATTTTAAGAACCAAAATTGGCCTGTGATAGATTGTAAGATTACTTTCTTTACCCCCCCCCCCCCATACCTGACTCTGTGGCAACATCCCCTTACTCCCATTTCCTCTTGAGTTTACTGTTTTAGTATCTTAAAGTTTGTTATCCTGAGACACAAAATGGCATATAAATGCATTAAATACATGATATAATTAATTCTTATATATTTAAAGACTATAAAAAGCAACAACAGCAAAAGAATGCTGACACATTCTGTATAAATGCTCAAATTTTAGGCAGATGGCATTTCAATCCCCTGGGATCAGATATAGTGTCAAACTTTTTCCAATTCTTCCGTAATAAGCAGACATCCATTGAACACATTTTTTTCAAAAAGATGAAAAGTCAAGAATCAAAAGGTATTTAGTTAATCTCTTTGCAAGCATTATTTTTGCACTAACCCGCACTAAACTGCTTACCTCATCTATGTTTCTAAGCCATTTGCTGATGTTTTCAAAGCTTTTGGCATTGGTGATATCATACACTAGCATGATTCCCATGGCACCTCTGTAGTAGGAGGTGGTGATGGTGTGGAATCGCTCTTGTCCTGCTGTGTCCCTGTAAAGGAAAGCAATAAAACACTGAAGAGTCTAACAAAATGGGTGAAAAATATTGGTAGGGGAGAAAATGGATAACCATAAATCATAACATCTAGATAATTTTCAGTTTTGCCACTCTTCTATAGAAGTATCTTGTACAACGTATTTATTTATTTATCCAATTTTTATGGCTGCTCATGTTGCAAAAAGCAACTCTGGACATAAACAACAATCAAGTAAAGCAATATTGTGTGTGTGTATGTATATATGTATGTGTGTGTGTATATATATATATATATATATATATATATATATATATATATATATATATAAATAAAAATGTAAATGTTCGTTTGTTCAAAATCTTAAATGTCCAAACATTCTTCACCAATTGCTTTGAAATTTTGACACAACGTTGCATTCGAATACGCGTGTTTTTATATACCTACTATTATATAGATGTCACACCTGTGACAGGTAAAAACATGCTTTTTTTGAAAAACAGCGCCTCCTCACATTCCTATGATTCCATTTCAATTTAAGAGACTGCAATTCCCAATTCGATTGGCGTTTGCAATCACCATCAACAAAGCTCAGGGCCAATCTTTAGAATTGTGCGGTTTAGAGCTAGACACGGATTGCTTCTCACATGGACAATTATATGTTGCGTGTTCTAGAGTTGGCAAACCAGACAATCTCTATATCTGCACAGACAATGGAACAACAAAAAATATTGTATACCCACAAGCATTGTGAAATTAAACATATTAGAAACGTGTGCTTTCTCTTTTCTTTCTTTTCCATTTAACCAGACTGAGCCACAGTCTGTTATGTACAGCAGTTACTGTTACGTACAGTATAGGTAAAAAGAATATATTTCCACCAAAACAACTGACTGGAAAAATGGGAAAATATGAGATACTATATTCACAAAATGCACGACCTATGGATAACTTAGAGGCTTAAGTCCTTGAAATTTAAGACAACCAACAGATTCATATAATAATTATGGAATATTGGAACTGTATGAATAAAACAACAAAGGCAAAATAGCAGACAAATTTAAGCTTGAGTACCTCATGGTACCCAGGAAAATGATTTTACAGGGAAGATAATTTTATAAATGCAATACTCTTATACTGATAGCAATAAGATTGTATAAATGCAAAAACATTATTGCTATTCTCTGAAATACAAAGTAGTCTTTCTTGCACTATCTTGAAAACTATCTAGAAAGGTTTTCTTCAATTCCAAGGAATGTTTTCCCTTTTTAAAAAGGAATGATGTGACATTATATTAGCTTACTCTCTCTAGCTAGTTTAGATATCATAAATATCTAAATATCTAATGGTTCTCCTGCTTGAGCAGGGGGCTGGACTAGGACCTCCAAGGTCCCTTCCAGCTCTATTCTATTCTAAAAAAATTGTGCTGGCCATTAATTTTAATGAAGAAAGAGCAAGATGATTAATTTACAATAATGAGTCTTCCAGAGTTATTGGAAGTATGTCTTCGTGAGTATTTAAAAATAAATGTCAGTGCTCTCTTAACATTTTGTTCCATATATCAAATTTGATGTTTCTTTTATAAGAATTGGCCCGAGGTGAGATGGGCAGCAAAAATTTTTAATAAGTAAATAAATAAATAAGCAAGTACAATTCATTGGACTTACAGTTACTGTGTTCAAGAGAACCAATACACTACCATGGAAACTCACCCAACTAGTTTGGGCTAGTCTCAGCTCAATCATTTTTCAGAAATAGATTGCTGTGGGAGGAAAATTATGAAGAAAACTTGGAGGATGAAGTAGGATATAGACTGCCTTAAGCTTCAAAGAAAAAGATGGAATACAGGTTTAACAAAAAAATGCCAGTCCCAATTATTGTTATTAAGAAAGGAACTATCTGTAAACTTAACTAATAGACCTTTATACAATGTATATTTTCCTAAAACGTTTGTCAAGCATTCTGCCTATTGCATACCTTCTTACTTTGTATCTTAAAAATTTAAAGAGAAATAAAATACAATTTACATTTAAAGAAAAGTAAGATCCTTGAATAACTAACATCAGTTGGAATAAGCTTTTTCCCCTTTGCACATACTTCTCCAAAGTTAAAGAGTTCACTCTAAGCAATTGTTTAATGGCTCATTAGCTGAATTCATGCAACATTCTAAGCCATTAACTACCAGCATTTACAACTACTACAATGAAAACATGTTAAGCTGACACCAACGAATCACACCATAGTTCATTGCAAAGTATGAACCTTTTCACCCATTTCTTGGAATTGTTCATCTAGAGCAGTGGTTCTCAACCTTTTTAATGCCGTGACCCCAACCGGTCGTAAGTTGAGGACTAAACCAGTCGCAAGTCGGGGACTAAACCGGCCGTAAGTCGAGGACTAAACCGGCCGTAAGTCGAGGACTACCCAACCGGTCGTAAGTCGAGGACTTTCCCTGCCCGGGAGCGCTGCGCATGCGTGGTTCCGCCCCCTGCGCCGGCTGAGGCGTAGCTGGCAAGCGGCAGAGATGGAGCAGGCCGACCACCAGCTGGCCCAGCCCAAGGGAGGTAAGGCACCCGCCGGAAAAGGGGGAAAAAATGGCGGACAAAAAAATGGCGGACAGCCTTGCTTGGCGACCCCCGTGAAATGGTCGATCGACTCCAAATGGGGTCCCGACCCACAGGTTGAGAACCACTGACCTAGAGCAAGCATGTCGAACTCGCGACGTCACTTGACATCGTGCAACGTATTGGAACTTTTTCCCCATTGCCGGCAGTGGGGTGGGTGCGGTTTCAGTGTGATGCATCCGGCCCGTGGGCTGGCAGTTTGACATGCCTGATCTAGAGCAGTGGTTCTTAACCTGGGCGGTACCGCCCCCCAGGGGGCAATTTCATTTTTCAGGGGGGCGATGGAATGAAAAGGGGCGGCGTGGGGGCGATGGAATGAAAAGGGGACGATAGGGGGCGATGGAGCAAGATGTTTTGGGGACACCTTTGAGCCTTCCCCTGCAGCTCCGAGCGGCCTCCGCCATTTGTAGAGAGAGACAGAGAGAGGCACTTGTGCTTCTCTCTCTCTTTCTCTCTCAA